TCGTGGCTTGCTAACTTTACAGACGTTAGGCTTCGATTTTTGGCATGGGAGCAATTTAAGCTAGGCTAGGCCTTGACCATGGACATGTTATAGACTGGACGTTAGGCCTAGAGTGATGCCAAATAGGTTTAGGCCTGTCAAATAAGATCTTCACGAGCTATTTCATATTCCGTGGAGAGTGCAATCGGTGGTCTTACTCCGTACAACAGCCCCAAACAAAAAGATAATTAAACCTTAGTCACCCGAAAGGTGGATAGCTGTTCATGGCCGCAAAATGAACGTTTAAAATATGCAGATCATGTTTGAGAACTAACGTGAAAACTCCTGCCTTTCATCAGAGCACGTAGGTATTCTTCGGAAATCATATTAATGAATCACTAGAAATACAGGTGGACCACCTTACAGTAGCGAGCTAAAGGTGGTAAGCCTAATTGTCCATCCCTGAAAGCTCTCCAGCCTCCTCTCTCAAAGAGATCTATTGTCTTTATAGCATAAGTGCAAATGTAGGCACAAAATGGCGTTGGCCCAGGCAAAACTTAATATTTAGGACTAACGTTAGACAGTTTTGAAATAATGGCTTTAATTATGGAACTGTTACAGTGTTCTGAATTGATTTTTACAAACCTACCCCCTTCTCTAACGTTGCTGTTGTCTGCAGCATTGGAGAGATGCCTCATAATTGCAATCATCACTAATTGCAAAGAGGTAAAGTGGTTTTCACTTGACTTAGACACCAAAGCACAAGTAACAACCCATGCACAAGTGTCTGAGTTCAGTGAAAAATTGCTTTACTTGAGTAACACTTTACACTGATGAACGATGGGGATGGAGTGACATCCTACCCCAGGTGAGTCAACTGCTACTGTACAACTTGACAATAAGCCCATAGAAAAGCACAGAGCACATGTAAATGGGGGTAAAAAGTCAATCTGGAAACACTGAAATCTGCAACCTCATTGAGTAGCAATGCTACCATGAATTAGATGGTTATCCCTCCCTTTCACCCCAATTCCATTGCAAGCCTAACTTATTTAGCTAACTGCTATCACCATCCTCCCAGAATCTCTTGCATCTTCTGTAATTCATATTTCTGCCCAAAGCAGTCACCTAAATGTGGGTTGAGGAGTAGGCCTAGGCCAACAAATTCCAAAAAGGAAATCAAATCTATATAGGCCTAAACTTATGTACATTATGCACTTGCCAATATTCATGATTCAAGCAATCCATGTTCATGTTGTAATACATGTATAATGTATGTGTGTATTCATACAGGGTTAGAAATTGAATGTCATAATGCAACAGAATGAAGAATAACAGGACCCCCATATGCTTGTAGATCATAATGGGTTGAACAGAGTTCACTTCTCAGTATATAGCTTCTTCTTTTTGACACCTATGATGAAAGTCCATGTATCCTAGCTTTTGAAATGTGAAGAGCCTACAGGCAAGGATAGGTAATAGACAGAAGAGGTGGAGGACTTTGTTTATAGAAGAGGGAATTGAAGTGACTGATGTTAAAGTTGAAAGCAATGGGGCAGAATGACTCTGTAACTATTGAAAAAAGGGTGCAATGAAGCTAAACTTGATGCAGCTTTATAGTCCCCCTGGGATCCAAATACTAGATGTTCAAGAGAGTTTGGCCTATTGCCCAGCATTCCCTACCTTTTTAGGCAAAACCAATGCATAAGTGTAGGGGACTTGGATGGTAACTTTGAAAAATATGGAATTCAAATGGAAAAATTAGATTTGACAGTTATGCAATTGATTTTAGCAATGTTTCAGCCTCTCAAAAAGAAAACGTAAAATGAGAACTAGGCAATTGAATCACAGGAATCACATATCTTGTAAAACAAATTTCAATGTGAGCTCTGGAACAACCACTGATAGATCAGATCAGATGATTTACCAACTTGCGTGTTGAATAGATCTAAGAACCAAAGAGTCATCTACAGGAATATAGATGCTCTGGGTTTTTTTTTTTCCAAGCTTTACCTTGGATAAATCCAAGAACATCCAGCAAACATCTTGGCAAGAAGTCTCATGAGACCATGTCCATTGATTAGGCCTTCAAAAAATTGATCCACATCATTAACCTTTTGCAGTCAACTGTCAGGCATGACCCATGCTAGAAAAATAGTGCAAAGGGTTAAGCTTAAAAGTAGACATTGAGATCAACAATGATGTTTCTAGTACTGTCAAAAGTATTGGAAAAGAAAGCTTGGATGGCACCTGGTCTTTTGAAATCTTTGGGCAATAGAAGCCAACCCTTTTATATATTAAAAGGAGATCCAACAAATGCTAGTAAGCAAGAAGCATTCAACCAGAATGATAGAAAATTTCATGTATCTAGGGAATGATGAGGAGGAAATATTACAAGTAGGAATTTTAAATAAAATGAGGTGAAAAAGTGGAAAAAAGAAGAGGAAAACCAATTAATCCAATTTGTCCAATTCTTCCAACAACTAAGGATGGAACAAATCACATTACAGATGAGGAGATACCAGATACCATGTCTAAATGTTTTAGTAAAATCAGGGCAATGCAGACTCAGGAAAAGTCAAAAGCAAACTAATCCTACAAGAGAACTTTTGCAATGAATGTTATAAATCTTCTCACTTGCTATACGCAACCTATCACAAAAGAGGATGTAAATCATTTTGATAGACTTTAAATGTAAATAAAGCAATAGGCACTCATTTGGTCTATCCAAGAGTCCTCAAAGGAAATATTGATTATGTTGCTCCACCTCAAATTTTTGCGATAAACCAATCTTTCGCAGAAATAGTGTACGAGGAAGACTATGAAAGATTGATTACTGAAATTCATAAAAGGGACTCATATCTTCAAGGAAGGAGACACAAAGAATATGAATTATTAAAGACCAGTTTCTGTCCTCTCTGGCTTAAGTGAAATGATTGAATCACTCATTTATAAGCATTTTACAGGGTTCTTTGGGGAAAGTTTCTTTTATAAGAAATGGCATAGATCCTGCATAAAATACAACACTTGCCACTTGGCACCCTTTGATAGGATAATGTGATGATTGAAAGAGAAATTGGGTTAGACTCCAAATCATTTGAATATTTTTGCACTTGCTGAAATCAAAATGAATGAAGATGCTAACACTGGGGCCTAATGTTAGACAGCTATCTCCAAATTATGTAACCCACAAAGAATGAATTATATCTCAGTTAATATTAGTATTGCCCTGTGGTGAACTCAAATTGTCAATCTACTTCCTTACTAAGAAGAATATCTTTGTAACGTTTTTGATGGAGTACATAAAGGATGTTGCTTATTGATGCTAGGCATTCACTGATACTCAAATATTTGATAGTCAAGTCACCTCGCTCATCTTAACAGGAAGGAATTCACTCTCTGGATGACTAGTCTATGCTGGACACTTTGAACTACAGGGTGGGCCAAAAAAGAACAATGGTGTCAATTTTGGTGAGTTGTCACTCTGATTCTAGGCTGCTGATTCTGATGAAATTTGGTACCCATATAGAGTGACTTGATTGAGATTTGTATGCTGAATTTCAGACCTCTATCTCTTAAATTGTAGGAGTTGTTATGTTCTGATGACCCATGACCAAATGCGTTGTCGAAAGTATAGAATTGAACTTGAGCTCTCTATATTCATGGAATACAGCATCACCTGCCACACTAAGCTTAGTTTATAAGCTAGGCTAGACTAATGCCAATCTCCCTACAATAAATACATTTAAAAGATGCCTAGGCTAGCTCATGAATTTTTAGTGGGATTTCAAAATGGAAAAAATATTTTCCTTTTAATTTATGTGAAAGTGCATTGTCAAAATGCCTTACATAAGAGACAGATCTTGTTCATATTAAAAACTTGCAACCTGAAGAAGGATATGGGGCAAGGAAAATAAAAGTTAATTCCCAGCAAAAATTGGTCAAGGAGTGGACTTGAATGTGTCATCTGAAAAATTGATAAATCTGGTGACAAAATTGAAGGCTTATAGTTTAAAAAGTGAACACGTACTTTTTTTGGGATCTAATGTAAATTAAATTAAATTCTCACAGTTTTTGGAATTTTGATTTTAAACTTGGCACACACACCCAAATTGTGTCATCTTATATGATACAAAATATTCATCATAATCAGCAGCCTACAATCAAATTGACAACTTGCTAAAATGAGAGCTTTGTTTTTTTTTTTTTTGCCCACCCTGCATGGTGCATTACTTTAAAAGCCATAGTTAGAGATGCATGAATAGGAAAAGTGTTCTAAGAACTCCATGAATATTGATGACTGTGGATGCCATGTCAGGGAAATGCTGCCTTATCCCATTCCTGTCGAATCGAATAACCACCTTTCCTTGCTCCTATAATACTGTTCTGTATGGTTTCTTTGGGAGTTTATGAAGATCTTCATATTCAGTATTTTTGCTAAATTTTTTTGCCAAATTTTCTCTGCCCATCATAAAGGATTCTTCAAAGTGATAAAATAACTCTCGGAAACTTGGAAATTTCATGTTGACTTTTTCCTGGGTTTGGATTTTTGTCATATGGCAGATTTTAAAAATTATAAATTTGGAGGGGTTCTGCTGGAACCCCTCCAAAGAAAGGAATTATATATTAAAAGGAATTATATATTAAAACCTCATTCATAAGTTTGATGGGATAACCAGGTCATTACAGAGAAGTGAATATGCTTGAAGTATGCTCACAAGAGTAGTTCCATGATGGTTAATGTCCATATTTGTAGTTTCATGTATAGGAGAAGTGAATATAAAGAATGGGCTGTTATCCTAGGTTGTATGGAACATTTGTCATTCAAACTATTATTTACTTACTCCTACTTCCCTTACAGCCTGAAGTAGGGCATATCTCCCTGTGCCATCCTATATTTGCTTCTAAATGCCACCACTTCATTTAGTGCAAGAAATAGAATAAAATAAGTCCAACTGTATTTTCATGGCTGTGCCCCTTTAATAATTTCTAGCTTCACCATTTTCTGACATTAGTTTTGAATGTTTTTCTCTTAGGTCTTTCCCCCTATAAGGTTTGAAAGGGCAGTCGGTCCCACACAAGTGTGGGGAAATGTCAGAGAGTGAAAAAGTCAGTGAGAGGAATGGTTTTGATGCAAGTTCCTCAAACCATGAACCATCTATCCCCAAGAAACCCCCAGGTGAGCTTGAACTGAAAGCTGTGTGCTACAGTACCAATAATGGCTTATGCTGTTTTACTCTAGGGGGTGAATTTGTATTTAACTCCCCTTTTGCTCCACACTGCTTCTGTTGATTATATTATTAGTTTCATTCAACCAAGCAAGGCTAACACTGGCCATCTCAGAAATAGTTTAGCAAATAGTTATGGCCTTAACTCATAATAATGAACTGATGTTGGATTTAGATGTTAGCCTTTATATTGCTCCAAGTCTCCACCATTAAGTGGGCTATAATTGGCAATGCAAGGTTTGATTCTGATATTAATTGATAACCAATTTAAACCAAGAGAGATTGCACCCTTGCCAGAATAGTCTTGCATTATTGGTGAAGATTGCTATTGAACAATTGGATACTATAAGATGCTTTTGCAACCACTGCCTCTGCTTAAACCATTGCAATAATTGCTTGGCCATTTCTCACAAACATCACACTATGTTCGTGGAGAAAGAAATGCATTCCTTCTGGAGACATTAATGAGACAAGCTTGAGGTCTCAACTCATGCATGCAAGTCACAATTTTCAGTTTTATGGTATGTCCATGAAGTTACTATATATTTCAAATGTTTCATACTTGAACATAAAATAACCTTTTATTTTGTATTTTTTTCTTTTATCATGGATCTCTAAAGACTAGGTATTATTATAATATGGTGAAGGGCAGACAAGATTGCTGAAAATAAAAAAAACTCCAACATGACTAGTTTGTATTGAAATAGGAGACTAGAGTCCTTAAGGTCCTGTAGAGCTTCAGCACTGGAATTTTGCTCTCCCTCTCTCAGTATTCAAGCTTTAATTTTTATTCATGCCTGACACTTGATTGTGGAGCAGGGCAAAAAGCCCAGCTGACTTAAGGAAGCAACTGTCATTGGTTTCAGGGGCAATTCTGATTTATTTATTTGTTCTTTAAATATGTGAGTATGGTGATGTAAAGATAAGATGAGAAAACCAGAATGTGCAATATAATAGTTTAATGAATCATTGCAGATCTCAATCAGGATGATCTCATCTTGGAGCAGCAGGCAAAAATAGAGAAGGAGGTATGTTTATGGTGGGATCTGTTTCCATTTGCATGTACTACTTTTCTCTTGGTCTGAATTTAAATATTATGTTATGCATTGCTATGTATTTATAGACAGGAGAATGTCAAGTATTCATGCTATTAGTGCATAAAGTTTTATATATATAATAATTGATATAAGCATTCTGTGCTATTCAAATGTTACTGGCATGGTATCAGAACTAAGTTTCTATTGGACTTCTAAGTTCAAGTTTTTCCTACCCTTTGTAAATTTAGAATAAAATAATCGTTTTGCATTGTCCTTCATCATTGAACTGTCCTTGCATTATAGATTGCTGCTTTTACTCCACTTGTGGGAGAAAAGGAGAAACTGTCTGTGAAGATGGCTGAGGAATACCACAGCGATCAGGTGTATTCTAGAAAGATCGATGACTTACAAACGAAGTATGGATATATCCGTCGAACTAGAGGTGACGGGAACTGCTTCTACCGGGCATTTGCATATTCTTACTTCGAGAATCTTCTCCAAGATTCAAAGGAATTAGCTCGGTAGGTATCTGTGCTTGTCATTCACTTTAAATATTCAGTTGTTAAAAAGAGAACTGAGATGTGGCATTTAAGACCATTTTCTTACTGTACTTCAGGTTTCAAGAGGTGATAAAGAAGACCAAAGAAGATCTTATGCACATGGGGTTCCCTAATTTCACTGTTGAAGACTTCTATGAAACTGTGAGTTGGTCCTTCTGTTACATATATCTTCATGGTTTTTTTGGTTTTTTTTTTTTTGCAGGATTGAGACTATCACCCAAATGCACAAACCTCCATTAGGTGAGATAAAACGAGTTTTAAGCTAAATAGCTCTTTTCCCCCTATAGGAGTCCATGTATTCTTGAAGGTACCATTAACTAAAGAAACTTTCAACATTTGGGCCTGTATAATTGCAACTCTAATGAAGGGTAAATATGCTATGTTGGAAATTCTTCAGTAGGGCAAAGTGCTCATTTTTCAACTAGAAGAGTAAACATTGAAAAACACCTACCTTTGTGTTAAGAAGCTACAAGTAAGGAGAAGCAGTAAATAATGAATAATCATTCTTCTGCTGAGAAGAAAAGTAAATGTTACCCTATAAAAGAAAAATATAAAGAATTCATATTTTCCCTTTTTTTTTTAGGGCTCTAATGATATGCAAAAACTGACAAATATGATTTTTTTCAGTTTGAGGATGTGCTTGAGAAGATTGGTTCAAAGATTTCTCCTGATGAGCTGCATTCCATCATGAATGATACTGGAACATCAGACTACCTTGTGGTGTACCTACGCCTCATTACCTCTTGCCACCTGCAGAAAGAAGCAGCTTTCTTTGAAAATTTCCTTGAAGGAGATATTACCATGAAGGACTTCTGCAGTCATGTAAGCATCTCAGCTTTTTGCTGATCCTTTTAGACATATCTAACAGGTGACAGTCTTTGATGGATTCAAGAAACTTTAAATTGTGCAGGATGTGGAGCCGATGTTTAGAGAGAGCGACCACATCCACATCATTGCTTTGACATCAGCTGTGAAGGTGGGCGTGCGTGTGGAGTACATGGACCGAGGGGAAGGAGGGAAGGTGAATGCCCACGACTTCCCCAACAGCAGCACCAACCCTCAGGTCTTCCTTCTCTACAGACCTGGTCATTATGATGTCCTTTACAAGTGACCTCGCCTCTTTGCCTTGTCTGTGATGCCTTTGAGACTGTCTCGGGGGAAATTCCAAGGAGCCTCATTTTATTGTGGTCAATCTTTCTTTGTATTTATCAGTCTTTATATAAGTTATGTATGATGATGCTGAAGAAGCTGACTGTTCTTTACTCAGCAGATGATTGTATGCTTGCAGTTGCTTGGCCAAAGCCATCATATATCAGTTATGTGCTTGTAAGCATGGGAGATGTATTTGCAAAGTTTTTCAGGCAGATGAGGAAGCCACTTTTGCCCTTCCTTGGAGAAATGATCTCCACTTCCATCTGCATCCTTGATTTCATTTCTATTTCTGTACATGATAGCCCATATTTCAATCTGCTGGCTGTGGCCAGTGGAAATTAGGTGTTGATTCTTCATCTAAGTGTTTTTCTTCAGTAGAAGTATAATGAAAAGATATGCAGTCCTTTGTCTCGCCTTTGCAGATCATGACTTCCTGACCCAAATAATCATCTAGATTTGAAGTGTTGCTGACCAAGTGGTCATCATGATTCAGGATATCCTTCATGTATGCAATTGGATTTTTTTTTTTACCTCTGCACTGTTGAACTTTCCTTTAAATGATTGTCATGCATTTTATTGTAGCATGCTACCTGGAATCTCCTCAACAACCATGCCATTGCTGACAGCATCTTTATGGCTGAAAGATTGCTGGCTGAAAGTGGGTGGATAGTCATTGATACATATTCAGCTCCTTATGAATAGTCAACTAAATTCTGTTTTTCTCCCTGCAAATTTTCAGGCAAAACTGAGGAGAATACCTTCCTATTGGCCAGCTGCTTTTACCGAGGTGGTCGACCAGACAAGGCTCACTTGATCCTCTCAAAATTTGGGGGTGTATCTCCTCACTCACGATACCTCTTAGCCAAGTGCTATCTTGAGCTTGACAGGTATGATCCCTCAGAACTCCTTCTTAGCTTTGAGATTTGATGGGAAAACTTTGGGCCTATTGTGGTGATGAAGAAAATTCCTAGCTCCAATTATTAATGAAGCAAAATTTTGTCTACAGATTGAATGATTCTGAATCAGTCATCCAAGGAGGTGGAATGAAAAATCGAAACCTGGAAGATGTCATTAATGAATATGGAGACCTGGCTCCCTTTGTCCTTCAAATACTGGGGCAGATCTATGCTCGTACAGAGCGGGAAAACAAGGCCATTGAAGCTTATCGCAAAGCCATCAAACTCAACCCGCTCCTATGGACCTGCTTCCAAGCTCTCTGCAACCTGGGGGTGGACCCTGAGCCAAGCAAAGTTTTCCAGGTGACATTATGATTCACAAGTCTCAGTTTTGGCATTGATTGTGAGGCCATATACTATCAAGTTAATTTGCCCTCTGAGAAATTACCCTAACCTAAGCCTGGGATCTAAACAAATGCCATGGATATTGATTCTAGCTTGAAGTTCTTATTAACCAAAATATCTCTCCCACTCTGTCACTTCTCTTAGTTGCACATCCTATACATATAATGCTATTGTTGAGGAAAGTTGTGCATTTTTAATCTTGAACACAGCAGCTTGCCTTGCAATCGTCAAAGTTAACATTTTTGAAGTTCATCTGTTGCTTCTTACCTGGTTATTGCTAAGGAATATTCAATTGTTGTTGATCCTAAATGTATTTTTCTAACCCATTTCAACAGCTTCCAAGTTTGGATACTGGGAATTCCATTGTGACATGTCAAAAGCTTCCAGTTCATCAACAACACCTGCATCAACATATCATGGATCCCTCAGCCTTTTCTACACCTGAATTTACCTCAGTTGTCTCGTAAGACCCTTACTCAAATAGTAGGCTCATGCCAATGCAAGCCTTAATATAAGCCTTTTGACTAATTCCTAATGTTTCCCACATACAGCAGTGCCCAAGGAACACCTTCCAGTCCTCTGCAGAAAGTATCTCCAGATATTATCACAAGCAATCAGAACAATGTGAATGCAGCCCTGTCTGTATATCACAGTTCCATAAAAACAAGCAACTCGTCCAAGAAGCAAAAGCAGGTCCGCTTTGCTGGCCTCACCTCCAATATCATCAATTCACCCGGGTTGGTGGTCTACCTTTGGATTGTTTGGATCACACGCCAATAGTAGAAACTTGATCAAGTTTTTACTATACTTGTCCTGAAAAATTATTTGCCTTTTCACAAGAAAGGTTATTTCTCTCATTAAAAAATAATCTTTTGGAAAAAAATAACTACTTTGCCATATAAAAAATTATGTTTAATAGGTAATTGGGTTATCCTCTAAGTCAGGGGTGTCAAACTCAATTTGACTGGGGGCTGGATGGAAGCCTTTGGGGGTGATTAGGGGCCACAAACAAAAATGTAACACCTTATCTTTAATGCAAACAGGTTGAGATTTGCAGTTTGTTTCCATAACCTACTGTTGAAGAGGACTTCACAGGTTGGACAAAATGGACTGGTGGGCCTGATCTGGCCTGTGGGCTGCCAGTTTGACAACCCTGCTCTAAGTAATAAGTCAATAGAAAAAGGAATGCATTATATGTCAAAAGAAAATGCTTGTTTCTTATCAGGTGAGACTCACCTCATTTTTAAAAAAGGCTTTGAGGTATCTAATGCACAGGTTGCCCTGCCATGCCTGAACTTGGAGAACAGTTGCAACTGTGACTGAGGCTTTCTGTTTCAGAGTATGCCTGTATGGCTTAAAGGAGTTATGCCCAAACATATCTGTGGACTTGCCATAGAACCTTCAAGTGCTGTCATTAATGTCTGTTTGGCAGCAAAATAAAAATAAAAAAGGTGCTAGGTGATGAACCTCAGGAGCCAATAAGTCTTATGAAGCAATGAAGCCTGTTGGTTCTCCTCATTGCTCCAATGGTTAATTTTTTTAATATTTAGTTATGGAATGAAAAATAGTTCATTGTATTTGGTGAGAGTGGTCCATGAAAGCAACTGCTATTGTTCTTAGAATGAAATAAGAGGAAGTTTCTGATTTAATTCTTGAAAATTTAAATGGGATTGCTTGAATGACTTTTGAAGAGTGTGACAAAGATGTTTTTTTGGTTAGACTTTTCCATGGAATAGCATTTCAGGAGACATATTTGACTGGTATTAACTGAAGGTTTTTTGTTGATAATGTAGTATTTATATGGGCTGTTTCTGGTAATGTTTTGTGAAACTTACTGATGGCAATTTCTACATGGTATTTTGTGGCAATATATGGTAAGGGATTTGAATGAGATAATCTTTTCCCCAGTTTCACATTTATGACTTGGGACACTCCTGGATCAGCTGAGAGCACGCAACATCCCATCTTTGGGACACTGTCTGGTGGAACACCATTTGACAACAAGCAGGTAAGATGTAATTCCTTTCTCTTGTGACAATTTTACTTATCCTGATTTTCAGAGTTAATCCTGAGATTCTTGATTGCTGAATTGTGAACCAGCAGACACAGCAACAAGCACAGCAGCAGCTACCAATCAGGAAAGACATGCAGTTATTGCAGCTGGGTTCAGGGAAGTCAGTTCTCGCTCAGACTGGCAATACTGTTCCAACTCCCTCAGGACCTGTCAAGATAACACAACCTCAGATTCGAAGAAGCTCCAGATTGTTCTCCTCTTCCAATTCAGTGAAGGTACTTGCAAAGTTTGCCTTGATTATCCCCTGCTCTTCTTTTGATAGAAGAGTTTGTGACCTACTCTCACTGCATAATGTGTGTTGTTCATTCAGGAGAACAACAAAGCTTCAGCCAAGTCCCGTCTATCAAAAATCAATGCTCCAACAAAGAAAATCCGGACAAGATCCTCAAAGAATGAAAACAAGAATGAGAATGAGAATGAGCTTGAGGGAATTATTGATGAGAAACCAGAAACAATCATGCTGGATGGAAAGGATCTCAAGCCACCTGCAACTGTGACTTCAAGCATTTCCTCTCCTCACCCTCCCAGTTATTCCATGCAACTCCAGAGACAACAAGCTGGTCTGTAAATCTTATTTGACAAAGAAAGAAGGTATCATGGATGAAGCTTACATATTATGTTTCCTTTCCCTTCTCTTTTGGTTTCCAATAGAATCTGTGATGCATGTTTTGAGAGAGTTGGGCACAGCCCAGGTTCATTTATCCCGCTATCACTGCTCAAATGCAATTGAAGTACTGAATGCCCTGCCGCACCAGCATTTTCAGACTGGTTGGGTCCTCTCAGCAGTGGGTCGAGCATACTTTGAAATGGCCAAGTACAAAGAAGCCATCAAGTGAGTGTCTTATCTACATCTTGTATCTCTTGAACTTCCTTGAATGAGGCTTCTCACTAGCATTCTACAGAACCTAGCTGTTTAAAAGCTGCAGAAGGAAAAGTGATGCAATTGCTCTTTTTATTGATGCTTGCAACTTATCTGCTATTGTGTGCCAGTGTATGGAAACCATCTGAAACAGGCATGTGTCTGTCCAAAAACTAATGAGAAAACTGCCAAAAATCCAAGGCACATGCCCCAACACCCTAGGTCACTTCATACTTGAGCACTGTAACCATGTAGGTGCCACAATGCACAATAATATTAAACTAAATACCTTACAATACCTGCATGCACTGTTAATGACATCTGGATCAGCTGGACCAAATACCAGGAAAACAATATGTACCTGCTAGCCACCAAAAATTTAAAGAAAAACTCATTTATGTTCTGCTTGGTAAAAAAATCCAAACAGGGTTCTAAACATCCTTTTATGCAGTTGCTGTCATTGAAACTGTGATGCGCCTCTAAAATGTGAAAAACCTTGAACTTTGAACTCACATGACTAATTTACCCTCTTAACCTGGTGTTTTATCTCATTTTAATCTTTTTATCTGTTTTATATCTCATCTTTAATACTCCTCCCCCCCCCCTCTCAAATGACGACTTGAGCGCTTAGGAAATAAACTTGAATCTTGAATCCTCTCTGTCAACTGAAAGGCTGTGGGATATGGATTCATGTGAATCTTTGTTTCTGGAATGTAGATATTTTGAGGAGCAGCGGGAAGTAGCTCCATATCACCTGGAAGGGCTTGAGCATTACTCAACAGGCTTGTGGCACCTCCAGAATGAGAAAGCCTTGGCAGCCCTGGCATCTTCCCTCTTGTCCACATGGAAGAAAGATTCCCAATCTTATTGTGCTGCTGGCAATTGCTTTTCCCTTCAGAAGGAGCATGAAACTGCCATCAAGTTCTTCCAACGAGCAGTTCAGGTGAGCTCTTGTTCCATAGTAAAAGCTTCAATTTGACTGTAATATGAGTGGTTCCTTGAGAACAATGCAATCTTATAGGTATCTCCAAGATGTGCCTATGCATACGCACAATTGGGGCACGAGTATGTGCTGATCGATGCATTGGAGAAGGCTCTCAGGTGCTTCCAATCAGCCATTTCAATTGACAAGAGGAGCTACACTGCCTGGTAAATCATTCTTGGTACCATTATGTCATGACATAGTGCCTTCTGGAAGTTAAGGAAGAAAAGAACTGTATCCTTAAGTTGAGAAGTGCATGTTTGCCATGTACCCCTGAATTGACAACTCTATGTCTACATATACCTGTACCCAGTACTAGGAAGGTCATTCTTATGCTGGGTGGACAGAAAGTCCCTGAGGGGTTTCATGTCCGTATATCTTGGGAACGGGGTGGCATAGAAATATGTGATGCATATCATTTGAAAGGTTATGTTGTAAATTTTTATGAGACGCCAAATCATCCATCTCACACTCCAATATGTCTGCCATCTTTGCCAAAATATGCATGCAACCTTTTAGCGAACACATCCAGAACTACCTCCTATTGGACATTTGTGATGTTCTGACTGCTCTCTGGATGTTTGTACACAATTCAGCCATGCTTCATGTGTGTGTGTGGCATACAAAATGTTCTTTACATGTCCCCACAAATGAGGGTCTCTAGGGATCAGGTCTGGGGACCTGGGTGGTGATAGGATGAACACTCCCCATTCCATCCATTAGTTTGGAAAATTTTAATCCAAAAAGACACACACTGGTCCCCAGGCCTGACTCGTGGCTTTTTTTAAAAATGAATTTAAATGAAAAAACTCACAAATTCCATTTGTGGGAACATGTTAAGAACATTGTGTATGCCACACACACACAAAGCATGTCTGGTTGAAGTCACTTCCATAGGTGGTGTTAAGAAGAAAAGCTTAATTATTATGAAAAGTTAATTTTTCTCTTATGATTACCAAAAGCTTTGAGTGCTGCCATTAGACTGTCTTGTTAATGAGGATTCTTACCTTTGCAGGTATGGGATAGGTGTGGTATTCTTCAAGCAGGAGCGTTTCCAGCTTGCAGAATATTACTACCGAAAGGCTCTAGAAGTGAACCCATATAATCCCACACTCCTCTGTCACCTTGGCGTGGTCAGTGCTGTCATTTCAATCCTTGTGACTATCTAATTAATGAATCTCAGTTACTTTTTCATGTTGGTGAATTTGCAGACCCAGCATTCTCGGGGACAGTATGAGAAGGCATTAAAGACACTTGAAGATGCTGTGAAGCAGTATCCAGGCCATGTTCTATGTCGCTATCACTATGCCTCAACCCTTGTCACACTGGAGCGGCTGGCTGAAGCACTTGAAGAGCTCCAACTCCTCCGGCAGCAAGTTCCCAGGGAATCTCTCGTGTGCTTCCTCATGGGCAAAGTATGTTATCTAAGGCAAGAGGCCTGGATACCATGGCATGGATTCTACTAAAAAAATTTTCTTCCCTTTTGAAGGTTTACAGCCAGATGGGGAATGCCCCAATGGCCTTGGCTCATGTGTCCTGGGCCATGGATCTGGATCCAAAGGGTGTGAACATTCGAGTGAGAGAAGGCATAGAACCAAACAGTCGTATTGCTTCTGAAGACATTGTTTCACCTGCAGGTCTTTCCTGTTCCTCAGGTCTGTGTTGTTGGAAAGAAATATTGTATTCATGCAACCATGCCTCTACATATCTGCGATCTCATAAGTAAAAGGATCAACTCATGGTAGTAGTATTGTCTGCTCTTTCAGTTTTACAGTATAAGTATTTTTCACAAGCTTATGTATCAACTGATCATGAAAGAATTTTATTTCTTAAAATGTTAACCTTTCCAAATAATGACACCTGCTTTTGGAGGCATCTTAGGAGTATTGGTAATTAGTGACTTTACATGATTTAGGAGAACAGGAGGAATCGTAAGGCATTTGCATATGGTATGATTTTGTAACTTTGCAGGTACTGAAGGAATGGTTGAAAGTTTTGGGAGCTTGACACCCAGCACCCCCTTGGGGGTGGACCAGATGCGACTTGTGGAAGGGGAGAATAGTGCTCAATCCAGAGGAGCAGGGGCAGCAGGTCCCTCAGTGGGAGAAGATGAAGAGGACAGAGAGCAACCTGGCTCTCTACAGGGTGAACTTGCCATTGTGTCTGCAGCCGTCTCTCTTCCAGCTTTGTTGGCCACCATCCAAAACAACGATAGTGATGAATCACCCTGATACCCCTAGGAGTTCAGAGTTTTCTTCTCTCTTTCTATATTCATTCTTACTGTCTCCTCTTCTGTTTCTCTTATGTGCAATCCAGTCTTAGTTCTTATCTTCGGGCACTTTGGAGACGGCTTTGCTGAATGAATGAACCCACACTAAATATGGTTTTCTACGTATGCTAAGTTGCATTCCCCACTCATTCAATAACTTTGGGCTGGTGCCATTCCCATGCTCGTGTGCCTCCCTTGTACCAAATTGTGCGGGTCCTTGATGGTCTCTCCTGAGTGCAGGATGATGCTGTCGTGCACTTGTTCTTGAGGGCATATTTCCTCTCCTTTGCTCTTAGGAATATCTCTGTCATGTGTCCATCAATGTTTAAGTGAACAGATATTCATGTGAATAACAGTTGATCTGATTGTGATTTACAGTGAAGTGGATGCATACAGTGTAAGGGTATTCCTATTTAAAAGAAAAAAAAGTTCTATACTCATTCTCCTCTTCCTGGCAGTTTATATTTCTTTGTCGTTTGCAACAAGACCTGTATCTGAGAATAAAGTTACGAGTCCATATATGAAGCTGTGCCTTCATGAGCTTTCATTTCTCGAGGTGGCTCTCTTCTCAAGTGCTAAAACATGGCGAAGGCCAAGCAATCAGGTTCCTGAGTTGGTTTGGTTTGCTTTCCACTACAGCAATAGCTCTCATCTGGATAGACCTTTGCAGTTAGCATAATTACACTTGGATGTACTGGTGGTCTTCTGAAACGTACTCACTTATTCTCAGTGCACGGGTGTGAGACTCCGTCGATTGAAGGGATCGGAGATGCTGGGAATGAGAACATGTCAGAGGCTCCTGCCGCCTCCTTCACTTCTCTCCTCGAAGGAACTATCGAAGCCACTCTTCGGATGGTTGAATGCCATCTTCAACATGTGAGCCCCTCTCCATCGAGCGCGTTTATCGTCTCGGATGCTGGGCAGCAATTACATTTAAAAAACGTGGGCTAGTTGAAATGTTACAGCCCTGGCTCTGTTGCTGACGCACGTGTGTCATGTGGGACGAATACATTTAGACATTGGCGAGGATCTCCTGATCCTCGTTGATGTGTTCATGGATATATTCACGGTGAACCCCATGCGATCCCCGGGCCTATTGGGTTCAAATTCGATCTCCTCTTCACGTCTATCTTCCAGAATTCATTGGTGACGAGAGAGGATTTCCACGCTACTGAAGCTATGCATGCAATAGCCTGAAGCATTTCTCGGCTGTCGTGCTATTCGAATCGGAATCGTGGAAGATATGCAATATTCGTAGCGTGTAGGGTTCAGAATGCGGAGCACGGCTGAAACTGGCGATGGCACGTTTCAGGTTTTTGTTCCTCTGTAGGTCGATGTCGATTTTGTGCAGATGTCTATTGGGCGTCGTGTCACAATGAGATGGAGACAATATGAAAATCAAGGTGTAATACCACCGGGAAGTTTTATTTATAAACTTTCAGAGATATTTTTGCGCTTTCTTGAATTTCCTCGAGAGGAATAAACGTTTTAAATGAAACATAGACTTTTAAATAACCATGTACAAAATTTGGAAACTCACCCCCCCCCCTCTTGAATTCAGCATGGTAACTTTTTCACTTACAGATAATAATACCGCAATTAATGGCAAATTGCAGAAAAGGAAGGAACAATACCCTTTTTTTTCTCTCTCTCGAGTTGGAGTGTCCTCTCCGGGTGTCCTTGATTGAGCCATGTCATAACAAAGCGAGCATTTCGTCTCGGGGAAATCTTTCCGAGTTCCATGCCTTTTCGGCTTTGGATTCGTAATGAAAGCCGTCGAAACGCCACCGGTACCCTCTCGCTATGTAAGAGTGCCGTCACTGCATTTCGTAGCTTAGGATCGATCCCGCACGAATGTATCGAGTAGGGCTTGCACCGATGTATCGGCTACCACCGGTATCGGCCGCTGGTGTTGCACTATCGGCGCCATCGACAGGTTTGCAAGCTGTCGAGGTCGAGGTCTAAAGGGGAGGCAAAACTTGAGAAAAAATTCGAGTGAACGTGTGAACCCGTAAAATATCGATCGGATTATGTTTTAGCCCCATTCTAGGAACTGACGGAGGAAAATAACTGTCAAGAACGGGAAATCCTCCTCGGCACTAAATATGGTCTCTATCGTTTTTAGGGGCTCCCCTGACAAGTATCACATGGCTTCCAAATGGACCTGTTTTAATTATTATGCAGCTTCATGTTACTTCTCAGTTTTCAGACGACGATCTGCACCGGCCGATGATTGAGATGATAAAATCGGCCATCGGTGCAGCCCTAGTATGAAGTATTGGGATTTGATAACATTTGCAATAGCCCGATGCTAAAAAAAAAAAATTCTCTCGGCTGAGGTGAATTGTTAACCGTCATCGTGCGCTTTCATTCCGCAGTGGGCGTATTTGAAGAGTTGCCCGTGTATGGAAGCCCCGCGAGGCAACCGGTCGCACTCTCATCGATGAACTCGGTCTTCCAGATTTGGTTTTTTGGACCTGGGGGGCTGCCAGAGGGGCTCCCGTCGAGGGCACAGCTGTTCCACGCACCTGTGTTCTACCTTTATCGCAAGGCTTGCGACGGTCACCGAGCAGATGCTGCATAAAGCCTTTTTGTTTCTTTTCTTTCTGGAAAGAATTTTCTCACCAATACAGCGTGGGCGCTTAGAGTTCTTGTAGAAGAAACTCTTCGCCGACAAATTTGGAATTGAAACCATGAATCGCATCAACCTTTTCACTACTTCAAGCACGTAGTTTTGCATTGAAGCATTACTAAGAGCAGCAGGAAAAGATGGGACGAAAAAGAAGAGGAGGATAAAAAGTGCGCCGCCCGGGAATCGAACCCGGGTCGCAAGAATGGGAATCTTGCATGATACCACTACACCAGCGGCGCCTCGTTGTTTGCGAGGGTCCTCCTAGCCCTATATGAACAGCGATGAACGAGATAGCAGCAGGGGCTTTTCAATCTAGAGGCCAACATGTGGGCACCTCATTATCGAGCGCGTTTATCGACTCGGTTGCTGAGCAGCGTTTTACATTAAAAAACTTGAGTCAGTTGAAGCTACTGCGCTGACTCTGTTGCTGACGCACGAATGTCATATGGGACGAATACATTAAGACATTGGCGAGGATCTCTTATGAAACCATATTGATAAAATGATGGGACTAAAAAGAAAGTGCGCCGCCCGGGGATCGAACCCGGGTCGCAAGATTAAGAATCTTGCATGTTACCACACCTACACCAGCGGTGCCTCTGTGTTTAAAAGGGTCCTCTTAGATAACCGCAGAGGCCTTTCCTCGCTTCGCACGGTGATGTGTCGAACTGACTCGGATCGTGTCCCACAGGGTCGACGAGAGCCGGATCAAGGAAGTGGGAGCCGACCGCGCATGCGCGGAGTGGCTCCTCCGCTGCGGTGCCTACGTCCGGTGGAAGGAATACCCCGAGAAATGGGTCTCGGATTACAATACNCGTCCGTGTTTGAACGATGCAGGTGGTCTGAAACACGTGGAGGAAGTGAAGTTCCATCGCTGTTCCTACTTGGATGACGAGTCCCTGCCCATGCTGAAACCCCTCGCCGAGACGTTGACGTCACTCGAGATCGTGAGCTGCGGGAACGTCACGGACCGGGGTCTCGCGTCTCTCGGGCAGCTCAGGTCTGTGGGTGTTCGGAGGTTCATGGGTTTTGCTTTTCTTTCTTGCGAATGCGTTGTTCGTTTAGGAACCTGAAGACGATGTTTCTGTTCGACCTGCCGGCAGTGAAAGACCGGGAGGGATGCCTCAGAGATTTGGAACGGGAGTTGCCGTCCTGTCGAGTTGAGTTTCCTTCGGTAGAAGAGAGAAGTAAATCTCCGGAATAAGTTGTTTCCTTCGTTTGCATGTGACGTCAGTGTGATATAAGAAATGGACTGTGATGGTGATGAAAGTGAACCGGTGTTCTTTGCAATCTTGTTTATGCTTTCCATGTCGTAAAGTGAGGATGTTGGTGATGAAAACCCTTGCCAGAATCACCCGTGCGGTGTCAATCGAGGAGGCCATTCGAGTATTCCCAACAAAGCATTATCAGAAGTGTGCTCCAGAGCAGAGGTATTAACAGATCCGAATCTCTTCCGCAAAATATATCGACCTGTCCCTATCCTGTCCATGAGACAGGTCTCCTGCAATTACTTATGTTGACTTAAAACACGATGGTTTCCAGGGCTGTACAGACCGGGATTTGCTAGAAAATAAATTCACAACTTGTGTTTGGCATTACGAGCAAGCTTCATTTCAGAGTGACATCCAGAGTGATATGTTTTATAGTCAAAGTGTACTTGACAATGTTGCAAATGACAAATCAATTCATTTAGCCTTAGCCAGAGACTGAAAAATCCATTACCCTAAGCTCTGTATGCTAGTGTTGAACATGACACTTTCTGAAACCCAATTTAAAGTCACTTGCTCTGGAGGTCAGAGTTATGTGATATATCATAACCTATCAATTTAGTAACGAATGTTTTTTTATTAGTGGAACCCAGGAAAAATGGCCCAAGTCCCTTCATAATAAAGCTCACAAGTGTGGCATGAACCGAGATCCAACCATGCACGACTCAGATTTTTTGCAGCAGATGCTGGAATTGATCTCCTTCATTCGCTATTCACAATTGAACACATCACTGAAAGCTTTCTAAAGTACATAAAAGGAATGAAACAAATGGTGCCTTTAATGCTCTCCTTTAGCTGCAGAATGGTGCAAGGATTGTTGTAGTAAATAGTTTCCTTCAATTCACCATCATTAATTTGAAGTCATTGAACCAGAGTCACTTCCAGAAAAAATATGCTAGATGCCCTACCTCAGAGAGGAACATGGGGCACTTTTAGGCATTCTTTGAAGACAGAATCATATAGAAAGCCCACCAATGTCTCTTGATTTCACACCACCCAATTACTTTCTTTTCAATTCACTTTGTTAACTACAGCAACACTTACACCATTCCAGATCTAAAGGAGAACGTTAAAAACAGCATTTGAAACATTCCTGTTGATGTACTACACCATACTTTTGAGAACTCTAACAATGTTTAATTGTGCATAGAGAACGAGGGGATCAATTTCAGCATCTGCTGCATAAAAGATTAGTCATGCATGATTGGATCTCAGTTCATGTCAAATTTCAACTTGCTAGCTTTATTATGTTGATTACATAGGAAGTTAGATCATTTGTCATGGGTTGTGCTCTCTGTATTATGTTCATTCTATAGATGAAATATTCAATAAAAGCCTGAAACTGGTGTCTGTCACTTTCTGGTTGCAGTTCTTGGGAAAGAAAGCAAGGCTATTTTGTTGTAATATATTCTGAAATTTTGTTTTGAAATGAAAATTCTGCATATTACTTTGAATGTTCTTCAGCTTAGAATATCATTCAAAAGTGAAAAATTGACATCTCTCCACTCCTGATCATCACACAGCATGGATAACCCATGCTGGCATCTACTCCAGTAGTCCTATTCAGGCTCTAGATTTGCATCTTCATCATGTCAATGAGTATCACATGATAAAAATGATTGATTCTTTCATCTTTAATAATAAAATTCTCATTCATTCAAGTCTAGGGATTAGAGATGACATTTTGTAAAGAATGCTACATCTGCAAATTTAGTGACTTTTCATGCTAAGGCTCTCTGGAACACTTGGCATGGACAGACCCCATATGATCAATCAAAACAAATTTTCTCCTCATTAAAGATAGGTGCCCCTGTCAATTCCACTTCCACCTAACTTTACAGCAAAAAACTGATGGAATTCATTGTCCTTGACTTTCTTGTGTTTAGCTACAACAATTTCTTCACTCTTTCCCCATAGTGCTTTATTGGTACAATGTGAATCCAGCCACATTCTTTGAAGTCATCTCTCATGACAAAGAAAAAAATGAAACAACTTTAAAATGAATATATCAAAGAATTTTCTTGATAGATCCTGTCATTTATAGGAATGAAAAAAAGAACCCCTCCACCAGTGTCATTCAAGTATTGCACAAGAACTGAGAAAACTTTCTTTGTTCCATATTGAAAAATGACCAGAAAAAACCAAACACTTATTAACTTCCTCTGTACCATGGCCTGACACATGGTCTGAAGAATTCTTTCTTCTTTCTTGAATTGGAGTCTCATGATCATGAAGACACACGGCAGAATCCAGCAGAAGAACTTTACTGGTTCTTTGTTTTTCATATCCTCATGCTCCATATACTCCATGTCCCTCAGCCCAAAAGTCTCCTCAAACTCTGCTCCTTTGTCAGAACAAACCAAGGGTCTTTTTTATTATGAAGGATCTGTCATGGCCAATGGCATACTTCATTTTTTTACACTTTTTTTTTCATACTCTTTAACCTGTGGCTTTTCCATTGAGTCCCTGAATGAATGTGGAGAAAGGTTTCCTTTTAAAGTTTCTTTCTGAAGTCCATCTATCTGGAGAATTTTTTATTAATATTATCTGAACAGAATGCTTTTTATTTAACTCATTCTCAAGTTGTTAATTATTAGAATCCTTGTTAGTTTGTTCCTCCAAGTGTATGTGGAAGGGAGTGCTCATGTTAGAGACACATTTAACCTTTTCATGGCATATGATCATTATAAGGATCATATCTTTTGAGACTACTCTTGCAGTTACCATTGAACAAAATCTGTTTTATATGGTTACTGCTTAATAGCTCTCAAAAAGGGCTCTTTGGTGAAGCATCATTCATTCAAATAGGTTGTAGTTCAGGCAAGCTGGATCAAAAAGAAATGTTGTGACCCGATATTTTTGATTTTTGATGAAATAGAATTTTGCCTGAAAAAGTACAAATTTTTTTTTCTTTCTTTTTGGAAAAGGGAAAAATATGCCTGCATGCTGCAAGAAGGGACGGATAAAATTGGGACAAAGGCCAAGTTTTAGGGGCTCCCCATTTGTGAACAATGGCCTGTTCTTCAATATTATCCATTAATGATTTTTGTAATTAAAAAATTCCATTTTTGAAAATGAGTAAATATTTGAAAATTTCTGCAAGCTCCATCTTGCCTCCGCCTGTTCAATAGAAAGAGCGGTAAAAAAAATTTCTTAGTCATTTGTTTTCTTAGCTCAGCCATGTAAGGGTTAAATTTCGTGGCATGTTTCGTGCCATAACTCAACCTCAGAATCTTCCATTTTGAGTCAATCCACAACACTGTATGAAGGGATAATCCAAGCTATCTTTAAACATTAAAAGGAAAGAGAGACTGCTTCATACAGGAGGGACAGAAGCATGCTATTGAATTAAAGTTCTCAAACTCAGCTAGAAAGATGTGAACTTTATCTAATGGCATTTATGGCATTCTTAGCTTTTTTCCAATAAAAATCACTAGGATAAAAATAAAGCCCAAGAATTAAATACCAATAGCTTGATTTCAATCAGGGGATTTAAGTGAGTGAACCCTGCTGCATTCTTGAATCCTTGGTCTTCAGACTTGTGTGATTTGAAGGCATCAGCTGATAGCCTGCTGGATGCAACATGAAGACAAGCAACCTTGGTCTCCCTGACTCCTGCAGGTAAAAAAGCAATGCAATCAAATCCACAGGAACTTCTTATCGAAACGTAGCTACTTGGAAAAACAAATTTGCTAATACTTGAAATTTGATAATAAAACCGTTTAATTACATTTTGAAAAATCGAACAGAAAAGAAATGTAAAATATGATTTTAAATTAAATTTTCAGTGAAAGTTGGATTATCAATCCATCAGTTCAGGTTTAACAGAAATTGGTAGGAGTATAATTCATCACAATATAATTCCTAGTATTTACCCATATCTACCTTGGAATGACCAATTACTCTCAGGTGTCAAAAACTAAACATGTAGATTGAATGGGATCAGGTTAGAAATGATTAGATATATCCATAATACATTTGCCATGTGTGCATGATCCTATTTTAGAGATCACACACTGGATTTAGAAAGAAACTGAGTCAAATAAAATTATATTCGTTGATTGATCAATGAAGTCCTGTGTAGCATCACAATGAGCACAAGAGAACCAATCACATTGGAAAATGACTTTCGGATGAAAACTAACAGGAGACTCAGGTGGAACATCTGTCAGATGCTGAGAAAGGTCCCGGATGCTAGACACCTTCCCCTTACGCTCCACAATGCCATTAGGTGCATCCTTTGCCAATTTGGTCACGATCTCTACGAGTTTCTTGGTCAAATCTAATTCCCCAGATGCCTGTAAAGAAGCACTGTGGCCAATGCCTTGTGAAGCCTTATCACTGGCATTGCTTGGCCTAACATTTTCCTGAGAAGGATTTCCCATTGCAGATGTCCTCTCTTCAGAGTTCCTGCCAGGAAACTTGGATGCTCCGTATGGCATCGCAACAGGGTCACTACCATCTGAAGATACAAGAATCAGAGATATTAGCATTCGCAATTTGTGACTAGACGAAAAAATGATATCCCATCAGCGGGCTGACCATTCCGTAAGTACCATCCTCCATTTGGCTTCTGTTCACTCCCTCCTGAAAGGATAATAAAAAAAAAAACTAGGGATAGATAACCGTAGGGAAACTAATATTCTATAAGAAGGATGAGGGTCAGACATATGAGCTTAGACTGACCTCTGAAGGCCGCGCCTACTTCCATCTTCGGTTGGGGAAGACGTGGCTGGCTACTGCCTCCCCTCAGGTCTTTTTCTGGCTTAACCGAGGGAATGCTGTGGCTTTGGGGGACTGGCCTCTGGTCTCTCTCCTCTACAAGGTCACGAAAGAAGCACAGATGAATCGAACCTGTCTTTCAAGACATTCGAAGATTACGAGGGTTCTCATGAATTTAGGCAGACCTTTGAGACTCCAGCCTGCTCGAACATGAGGGGGCTGATAGATGCCTTGTGGTCGCTTTGTCCTGTTTCTGGATTCTCCTCCATCTTCCTGAGCCTTAGCCTTAGCCAGTGGACCAAACCGGTCACCTTCGGCTGCAAAAATTCAGTTCAGTTATAAGGGGCTTTCAAGCAAAAGACGAGAACTGACAGTCAGCCGTATTTACCATTGTTACTCATTCCATTTCGAATTTTTTCCGATGGAAGGGTAAAAGAAATTTCCTTATGTCGATTCTCGTGCACCGGCATACCACCAGATTCTTGCTGGCAGCTAGATGACTTCCCAACGAAGTCCTTTCTATCTGGCTTGACGTCAGAAGAACCTTGGGAGGCTCCCTTAGGGTCAGACTTCCACCCTGCTTCTTCCTGATGAGGATCTTGCTGGCAGGATGATCCGGCTCCAGAGGCAATTCGAGTGCAACTGGATGAGCTGCTTCGAGAGCAACTCCGTGCTCCATGATCTTGAACTGCCGAGGACAATAAGAATTCCAAGTTATTTGCATTCAGACTGAGGTAGAGGAATGAAATGACCTCCGACCGACCGATTGCAAAGCCCAGGCCTTGTAGAACATCGTCCGGCGGAACATAATCTGGTGGGAGGTCAGGAGGAGGAACGGGAATTCTTTTTTCGGTATGCATTGCTAAGTTCTGGAAAAGGAAATTTCATATTAACTCGTCTTGCGACGAAACGTAAGCTTCCGAATTTTGGGATGGTCTCACCCGCTGATGTTTGCGGCCCCTGACATGAGACTCAAAAGCTTGCCAACCCGTACAAGTCAAATTGCACATGTGGCAACCGAAGACGTTGGGTCCCTTCATCGTTTCCTTGTCGATATTCTTGAAGTGACTGTACCCGACCACGTGTGAATCCCATCCCTGGTCAGAATTTCGCAAAGCATTACATGGCCACTCACTTGGTTTCCACTATCGTGACATCACAAAAAATAGACTCTCCCCCAACCGACACCAGCCATTCAATGGAGACGATTTAGCAAATGTCCCAGGGTTAGAAGAAATGACGTTCAGCCCAATTTGGGCTGGACGAGAGAGGATCTGGCAATGGCAACCCCTGATGAAAAGGGGTTGCCATTGAGCACCCATGGAACCAGAAGAAGCCGAGGAAAGGGTGATCGCACGAGTCCGTCTTCCCTCACTCGGAGCGATATGCCCTGTTCCCGTTAAGAACAGGAACAGGGCATGCTATATGGGACGTTTCATTGAGGGTCATCGCGATGAGGAAAGGAAAGCTCGACACCCCACAACTACACCGCGCGAGCAGTCTTTCCAAGAATAGTCCATAGACTCGTACAGCATTACAGGAATAAAGCGGGTAGGCCTCCGTTACATATAAATCGACTACCGGTCTGCCATTTATTTCAGTCTCTAGGCGGCAAACAAATCCCAGCTTGAGATTCGATTCGAATTCCATTTAAACCGCTGAGAGTTCCCTGTATATTCCTTCAACGTCATAAGCATTTGAAAGGTATAACCACGGTGGCAAGACTGCTCATAGACGTACAAGACAGTATAGCAGCCCCCCCCCATTCTAGCTAAACCCTATGCTGTCTTTACGTTGCACTATCTCCCTAACCCCACGTATCGCTAAGTGTACATTTAATCGCCGGAGTATCCCGACTTGATGGGTCACAAAAAAGCATGATTGAGAGCGTAAGACGCATGAACGACTCAGATCCGGCTCCCCACCCCTGAACATGATGTCCCGAGGCGTTTCTCGGCGGCAGCTCCCTTTGGCTAGCTGAAGAAAAAAAAAAAAACTTTTTTCTTCCGAGTTTTTCCGGAAAACGTGCAGGTTCATCGGCTTTTTGCTCGCATACGAAACAGTGTGCCGCCAGTCTCTTATATCTCGATACAAGATTAACTCACCTTTTGTCCCGTACAAGGGACCTTGCAGAGCTTGCAGAAGAAGATGTTGTTTCCTGAGAACTCGAGATACGGATGCCTAATGGAAAAAAAAAATCACTCACCTCGCATGTAATAGGACACAGAGGAAAGAAAAATAAATAGCAGACGCGATCTGGTGCACGTCACCCAATAGGGCCTTTAAGCGGAGAAAAAAAAAACAAAGATGTTCATGGATTTTTAAAGGATCATTCAGCATTAAAAAAATGCCAGATATGGGGCCAAGGGGCAAGGATTCAAGTCCCGATCGTAACCGTGAAGGGAACAGCTCCTGGCCGTGAAAATTCCGCGTAATTGCATCGTTAGGGCACCCGAATATACAACGAATTGACTTCGCTGGGTCTAGCTCTTCAGGCCTTTCCCTTCAAGCTTTCGTTTCTCCCCCAATTCCACAACGATTTACAAATTCGGGTCGGTATGATATAGGACATCGTCCGCATGGTTGCAAGCAAACTCTACAAGCTATACATTTCCATGCGTCTTCTGCTAAACTTGCAGAAATTTTAATTTTTCTAAATAGAGGACAATTTTGGCGTCCCCATCAGTCGACAATCGATTAAGGTTCCGTAAGAAAGTGCGACTGCTACCAATATATTATAGGCTCTTTTCCAATTCACCTAGCCCGTCCCTGGAAATGTAAAAGAAGAATGTATCATTATCATGTATCTAAATGTGTTCATTGGACAACAGATGAACGTTTCACGATCGTCTTATTGTTCAAATAGCTTCTTTCTGCTTCTTGCTTCACGCCGACTTCCTTCCTGCTTGATCTGTCTTTCGAGCCCTTTCGGAGTCTGATTGACAAAGTGTTGGGATGCCCTGCATCGGTTCACCCTCAGGTCTCAGGGACCGTGGGGAGGGGGGGGGTGAAAGGGGGAAGGGGAAGGGAAAAAATTGGGAAGGCAGGAATTCCCCCGATTCGCCGTGTTTGCTCCACTGAACCCTGTTCTCACGAACTCGCTCTTCCTCTTCGCCCCCACCCCCAGAATAAATATAAAAAAACGGACGGAAAAGCTGTAGCTGCTCTGGCAAAGGATAGATGTTTAAGTTTGTGCATGAGTGTGCTGTATATTATGGGGGCCCGTAACGCATACCATTAAAAATCCTCGGGGACAAAATAACTGGAGAACACTAACACGGGTCTTGCCTTTAGAATACGATAGGACGTTACGATAGGCCTAACCACAGAAGGAGACAGGGAACACACCTCACGTTAATCGAGGGGGAACGGGGCATATTCCATCGAGCGGCGAAACGGTTCGGAAGTGCCAACAATACCCTGCGAGTAAGTAGGAATCCCCTCGAGCCTGCTCAGACGGACAGACTGCGCAGCGATATAGAAACCGAATGGCGCCGGGCTGACATGCGCATGCGCAGTTCATGCTCCAGCCTTCACGAGACGACTTCGCTTAGTCTTCGCGTCTCCACCTTTCCGCTCGCACGTGTGCGGCGAACGCTGGCTGCACCTCGATGAAGTCGGTTGGGGGCCGTGTGCTGGCCGAGTCGATGGACCGAACGACGCGTTGTATTCGGTCCGTCGATTCGTGGGCAGGGCCGGCCTTAGGCATGTGCCTAAGGACCCAGGACGCAAATTCACCAGGGGCGCCAAAATGTGCCAGATTGGATGAAGCAATAATGGATGCCACACACAGTTTTACTTTAGAAAGTGGAAATGACATTCGTTTTGTCATCTTTTTGTACGCTAGGTGTTGACTCTTCTCCCTTCTGAGATTCTGAGGGGGGGGGATTCCTACTTACTCGCAGGGTATTGTTGGCACTTCCGAACCGTTTCGCCGCTGTGCCTCTGTGTTTAAAAGGGTCCTCTTAGATAACCGCAGAGGCCTTTCCTCGCTTCGCACGGTGATAGGGGGGGGGGGGGGGGGGGGGGGGGGGGGAAGCCTTGGGAGTCTCATGGCTAGGGCCGGCCCTGCTCGTGGACTTCATTATCGCAAATTCGAGTTTGACTGAAGGTTTAGGGAGGGTAAGACCGAGTTCATACTCCTTCTGCACTGCATGTTGGATGCTGCACGTCAAGCCGCTGGACTGCAATCTTGCAATGCATCAAGAAATATGCCATGCAGCAGCTGGATGCCGCGTCTGGCAAAAAATGTATGCTGTACAGCATGTTGGATTGAATAGAAACCATTCCTATTTGTTTAGGGTGCAGTAAAACTCACATTGCAGCAGATGCAGCGTGCAGTTTTGCGGTGCGTTAACGGACTCCTGCGGTTTTCTGCATCGAGTATGCTGTACGGCACAAATATGAACCTGGCCTAAGATGTGAAGTTGTTTCTTTTTGCGACAACTTCGTTTTCCCCATTCGGCCAATGAAATGCCCGTCAGCACAATCATCTCACGAAATCAGTCTCAACTTCGACACCTAGTTCCTCCGACCAATCGGTTGTAAAACGTCTTGGCTTCTTCGATGAACCCTTCAGCTGTCCAGGAATTCGCAGTGGGGCTGGCACGTGCTGCAATGGGTAAGGCGCATGGCGATGATAAATGCAATTAGGACAAAGCACAACCCCAACCGATCCAACCCAATTCTCACAGAAATATATCGATCCCAACTCTGGCGTCCGTAGTCGGAATCTCTGTGACTTCTGAATCGGTGAACGAATTTTCCGTGCAGACGATGTCCCACGTCGAACTCCTGTGTCGAAAGTTTGCTACATTGGAGGATGTCCAATGTAATGCAAAGCACGATATGAAATCGGCTCGAGAGAGAAATGTGGAAGCAGTGGGGTCTTCGTGCCCCTAGTTCCATGCCTGCCAAACCGGAATGAGGAAACCTGAAGGCTTAAGGGCAAAGGGTAGACGGAGGGCAAGCAGATGGTGTACCGTGGTGCACTCGAAATATTTTCAATACCACAGTGAATCGCAGTTGATCAGATCATCTGCTATTTGTCTGCATATCTGTTAACGCTCTTGGAGTCAAAAGCACTAGAGTATCGTTTTCCTTATTTTTGCAATTGATCTAAATTTGCAATGGAATTTGCAATGGAAGAAAATCGCATTCACTGACGTCACGTGTTCTGTTAGATAGATCTAAATAAAATTAATAATAAAATTGCTCGAGGACTCGATCCAACCGGTGCACAAGGTCACGAGCCGGAAACCGTTTCGTGCAAGCAAAGTAACAGCGGGCAAGCTCTCTGGCAGTCACTCTTAAACAAACAAGATTCCAGCAGTTTTAGCAATTCATCGCTGGTGGATTCGCGGACACCTCGGGGTGTTCAAATGGGGTTTTATGGTGGTGGGAGGGGTGCACCCGGGTCTACCTCCCCCATCGCACCCATGACAAGGTTCTCAACTTTGACAAAATGTTGAAATGCCGAGACATGATTGAAGCTGACGAATCTGCGAAGAATCGACAGCAATCAAATGTCGGCTTTCGTAATTAACCGCATTTTCAACATATGGGTTAGCGAAATCATGATTTCAATTTCAGCAGAAAATGGGTCTTGCAATGGACGCGAGACGGCGCTTAACCGCCGATCTAGAGATTCTCAATCCGATGTCACCAGAACGAGTCCCCTGTGTTATTTCATGCTCTACCAGATCTTTTTCCACCTACCAAAAAGGCTTTGGAATTCCTAGATAGACACGTTTAAAGAGATAACCCGGCGAAAGGAGACTCCAGGTGCTTCTGGCCTCGAGGTCCGAAACCTCCATGGCGAATTCTTTTAACCGCGTCATTCGGCCTGCGAGGATCTGTGCGATCGGATTTTTTTTCTTATGGAGACCGATCATGCCAGATACTCCATTGCTGATAGGTGTGCTACTCAGGGACTCATCTTGGATTCTGCTGAAGGAAAGTAAGCTACAGCCTGATGTTGACCGCGGGATGTTGGTACCTGCTAGAGTACTTTCCACCTCCAACGATACGAGATCGTTACGTCATCGCATCTTCGACGCGAGGAAAATGAGGGAATGTCAAAACGTTGACACGACATGACACGTGAGCGTATTCTCAACGTCGAATTGTTTCATTTTAACACTGCGGTGACATCGAATCAACCTTTTACTCGATGTTGTGGCAACACTGCTATATTGAAAAATGAACGTCGACAAAATGTCATCCTGTCGGATGAGCTGTTTCCTGAATTACTTGAAGAGATCCCTCAATGCATTTCCATTCAAAGAAATGCCAAAGAATGCGTCAGAGCGTTTTATTAGTAATTTCTTTTCAACTCGACCTCGAGCACCAAGTCGAACTCGTGAGCATTTTTTTTCTGCTGTTGGAGAAATGGCTAATGACGCCGATGACGTCAGTGGACGCGATTGGACAGAGGGTTTCCACTAGACTCTTTTAGTCTCCACTAGACTCACATCGCAAATAAATTTTTAAAGCGCAAAATCATAGCTATAGTATATGTAGGAATACAAAAATGTAGCATCTTAATGTAGCAAACTCCTGTTTAATATTATTTGCCTGCTTTTACATGTTCATGGAATATTCATGAAACACCGTGATGTCATAACATACACAGTAATGGTCTGGCAGTTTACTCCTGAATATTATGTAAGGGGATTTTGTACCGCATTAAGTTTAAAAAAAAGATTCCCCGAGTCTCATTCGCGCGGGTGTCAAGTGCGGAAAGATTCGCCGTAAATCTGACAACGCTGCATGAATTTGGCAACGTCGCACTCGAGCCTCTTCCCCAGGGTCACGGAATTTCCGCTTCGCTGTCTGGCCTTTCCCGCTCGACCCGTCTGTCCTGCCTGAGGGTCGTCGCTCGGGGCTCGCATCCGACCTGGCTCACGCAACTGCGCGTCAGATCGACCTGCCGGTTTTCTCCCTCGCTTTAACGCTGCAATGCTACGTAATTGGAATCCACGCAGATTCCATTGACTACGATTCCCCTGAACTAGTGCCTGCGCATGCGAACTTCAACTGCTGCATCAGTTGGATGCTGCAGGATGGATGGGGATTCCTCTCAGCCTCGCGGAATCTCATAAACCTGGTTATTTTGCTTTTTTTTTTCTTACTCCGGCTCAGCTATCGGCAGCAAATGAAGCCCGATAATGAATTGCAATGGTGTTAATGTAAACAACAACATAAAAAACTGAACTGCTGTTTTCTAATGAAGACTGAGGCCTCGCACCCTTAGGTGCCAATGAGGCAATTGTAGGGTCGGACGACCCCAATTGCCAAGGTCAGGAATGCTATTGTCACTAAGAAGTCCGCGATCTGGGAGAAAGTCCCGATTCCGTGTTATTTTTTTTACAAATGCGACAGAGACTGGAGATCTGGTTTCTCTCTCTTCGCGTTTCAGAGAACCTCACACGAATGCGAACCGAAGTAATGCTTTCAGACATCGATCGAGCACCGAAGAATCCACGAATAACACAGTTGAACGTGGTTCCTGCGCGGCAAGGTCCATCGGCTCCGTGGGATCCCACATTCTCTCCACTTGGTATTGAGTTGAGTGAGGCTGAATGAGTTTGAGAGGAAACCAGCTCGTTTTAACGAGTCAGAAATAAATTTTAAAAAAATTGAGGTATGTGAATCTCCTCTGGAAAACTTGAGGACCATTTCACTCTCGTCATGCATTCACATGCATGAATGCATCCATTTACATCGTTGCGTTCGAATGGGATGCGCGAGTCCAAACGCATCCACAGGCGTGTACCAAGAGGAAATCCAATATGCGAAGGAAAAATGGGTGTTTTCTTTCAACTTTAAGCTCTTTGCGATAATTTCGGCGAGCAGTCGCATACGTGCTCCCTTGCGTTTGAACGCGTGGACGCGTGCAGACGCGCACGTTACACGCAAGAAACGCTAAGGGCGAAACTGCCTTTATCCCATTGTGGACCACATTGCGCTATGGAGGATTCATTTTATGAAGTTGATTGACAAAGTGATTTTGTCGCGAACTTCACAAATGCGGAAGTCCTTCGACAAAGAAAACCGCAGTAAATATTGGAATAAGAAATGTCGCCAAATTAGTAAACATAAAGTAGGGAAATAACACATTTTAATCGGATTCACTTTTGAGAAAAGACAAGTCTGTTTTCTCTCGAATTCCAATGATTTATGAGGGGTGGAGGAGAAAACAGGTCAGGAGATAACCATCGCCGTCGAGGCTTCAAGTGTGACATTCCAGGGATGCCAGATGGGGGTACTATTCAGGGATGCCAGATGGGGATGTTCTACCAGCTACCGAAGACTTTCGTGACTAATGACGTCATGACGCATCACTTCATGGCGGATGAGGAAAAAGGGATGTCGGTCGTTCCCTTCCAGATGAATTTAAAACACTATCCATGACGGAAATCGACATCCCTTGGATCACTTGAGCCACTTTCATCACTTCACCTGAATCACTTAGTTTTTATTAACCTACACTTTCTTATTGATGATACGGAGCGAGGCACAATAGTGAGACGCAAATATTTGCCAAGTTAAGTATTATCCAACCCTGGATTTTCTCAGAGGCATAGCACGTGTCCTCGATCGATGGTCTATGGCCATGCTTAATGCAAGAAAAGAAAAACTACCAAATGTCAAAATTAGTTCACGACCATAGGAAATGGCTCTCAAATGAATTTGCCGACTAGTTCT